TATGTGTGGGCTGCAACACTGATAGCAGTGAGATGATCTTGGGACAGCCTAGTTGTCGGGGTTGACACGGCCAATCAATACTGTACCGAAGCTTGTTTCACGCTGCGCAGAAATCTACACCAGCGATCTGTACTGTTTGACTATTGGTTCTCTACTGCAGTGAGATTGATAATTCTTATTGGGCTGTTTGAGAATTTGATGCACGCGAATTCCTGGATGCACTTGCATATAATACAAAATGACAGTACCAGAGTATAGATAACCGCTTCAGTAGGTGATTTGCGTCTTAATGAACGATGGATGTCATTTGTCTATTGAGTGCTGAGGAAAGCCTGACGAAAGACTGAGGGTTATCAAGAAACGCCAAGCTTCATTTGAACAGGAAACACCATTCGATTAGCCGCTTTATTATTGACATTTGTGCAGTGGGTGTGATGTGTTTTGTGCCGTGTTATCGCTATTGCGATGCTCTCGTGATGAAAAGGGAATTCAAAAGGGCGATTGAGTCGATGTACGTTGAATAATAAACTGCAATAATAATGCAGCTTTTTCCGTTTAATTCACGAAGTACATTAGGAGAAAATATTAGGAAAGTAGGGCTTTTAACGGCCGAATGTACGATCCGTTATTCGAGTTGAGAACTTCCGCATCGGTTGAATGCTGTTACATCAAGCTCTGTTTGACCAAAGTGACCACTCTTTCGCCGCTGCTGCGAGGATTCCCAATCCAATCCGCTCGTGAGATTATTAAATCCGCCGCTGCCGCCGCCGACATCATACTCAATGTTTGGATGTGACCCAGTTTCTTGGATTAAAAATGTACTCCAACCTTTTTCGTATGGTTTCTAATGTACCGAATTCTGGACATTACCGATTTACTCCATGAGCGAACAAATATTTTATGAGAAATCGGTAGGAATTTTCAACGTCGCATCAGCACAACCCGAAAATCAGCATAATGCTTACTTTGATGACCCTGGCTTTTATTTCTCACAGAGTGAGCAAAACGCGAAATTTAAGTTCGAGACGCGGAAATACACGTCGATTTCAAAGTAGCAAAACTGTTGGACAGCATTTATAATTTGATCATTTCACGACTTAATGTGCAATTATAAGTCGTGTGCCGAACAGTAAGTAACAGCTGCACATTCGAAAAAATAGTAGAGTTTGTTGAAGTGTCAGCCGAATTCAAAAGTTCCGCCAAGAAAGAAGAAGCTTTTGCTCTTCAACATATCGGTTCCTCAAGTTCCAACTAATATGCATGTGTTTAGGAATGATTTCAGAGGTTTTTCAGGCTGACATTCGCACAAACTGAACGTCTCAATGGCAGCGCTTTTCGATGTTTAACGATCAGTTTGAATTTCTTTGGAGTGGGAGACGTTGAAGGCGTAAGATGAGCCGTATGACTGTTGTACGGTCTATGACCTTCACATATTAATCAAAGATTTCCTTGCGCGGTGGTATAAACCGCGGGCGTAGCTTGTAGGTCGTTTCCACAGAGAGTTCGGTTTGCCTACATTTCGGACATTTCACTCGAGTTCACGTAAACAATTTTTCAGCATAATCCATGTTTGAATTTCGTTTTGAGTTAGCAGCTCTTTTCGATCTACAAAATCTCTGTGATTACGCTTCAGGCACAGTGCGTTCTTCCGGCGCACCAGATGCAAACCTGCCACTGATTCGTCGTCTGTGGAATGCAATTCAGCTGACCAATGCAAGACATTATCACGATTCCGATCTATCCGGCACGGGTGAGAACGGGAACGCCAGTCGTTTGAATTCGTCTGGTGATTATCGAAAGATCACAGTGCGTGAATCGTTAGCTAGTCTCCGGGCCCGAAATGCGTTACCTCCAGTGGATCAAATTCCTTCGCCAACAGGAGTAAGTGAATGGATTTTTTTTCATCTGATCTTGAACAGTTTCATACGTCACCCCCTAATTAGTTTGTACTTTTTGCCTCGGTTATCTGTGCACTACTTTCCGGGACACATCTCATACTAGATAGTGGGCATTGCTCATTTTAGGCTGTGGTTCACTAATTCTTCTGTTCCAATCACGAACTCCAATAAACTTCTGTCCTACTGAATGGTTTTACTCTCTCCCTCTGTGCGCGATCAACCTTTCGCATTAACAACATCTCTTTAGTTGATTTACTGAGTCTAGTTTAGTATACAGATATAGGATGAATTTCGAGCGTTTTCGACCAAGTACATCTATTCAGAACATGGAAGAGTAATGATAAGGAAAAACACAACAGAACGCATGCAGTGCAAAAAATATGCTGTCACGAGGAATGATTAATGATATCTAAGATGACATTAACTGGGTTCATTAAGATACCGGTGAGATAAGGAAAAATGCGATCACCGTAAGTGATGCTATGTGCACGGAGGAGCTTAAAATGGGAACGAGTGAGGGGGATGTGATGCACATTCATTAGGAATGATATACAGACAGTGATCTTCATCAGACACAATATTGTCGGTTAATCGATTAGAAGTATCGGTACGCGTGCATTCCCACAAACCGACCACCAGTGCAACGGAAAGGAAGTTTATATCGTCCAAAAATTAGGATTGATCTTTCTTCTTTTATCCGAAGAACAATACATCTATTTGGGAAGAATGCGGGCTGTCGTAAACTTGCATTTCGGGGTAAAATAAACTTTTCAAGTCTGAAAGTGTAGAAAGCATCAGACTGATTATGGTGAGCATACTTTTAAGATGCTTAGATCAAGAAAGGTTTAGTGATGCGACGACGAGTATTAACAGGGATTTCAGCGACGGGGATCATTTTTCTCGTCCTTTTCCCATTCAAACCTTACCGAGTGCTAAGCGCGGAACAAAAACCTCATCCGCAAGGAAGTCTATTCACTGATCAATTTGATTCCGTTCCAAATATTGTTTGGACGAAATCATGGGGTTCATTGATTCGGTTCGAATAATGTGAAGTTACCGATTTAGTTGACTGTTTTCAAGTTCGGTTCACGAGTCTTTTGGAACATTTTAACTCAATTTGTGAGCAAACTGAGTTGTCTGAAGAACAAAACTAAGCCGTCCGATTTCCCGCGCATATTTCCTATTCACTGAGACTTCCGAAGCGTATTAACCAGCAATTTATAGAAGTCGGGAAAGTTGTGTTAAGTAACCACAATAGTCTATCGGCAGTGTGCAGTTAAACGCTTACCCTTTCGGTTCAGATTCACGCTGACCCAGTCCGATCTGCTCGACTGAAACCAGAATTTCGCTTTTGCTATGCTCGGTTCCAAGGGTCGTGCATACACGGGCGTTCATGAGGAGACTCTACCAATTTGTAAAGTGGTTTTTTATTTTGCTATTCTGCTCTTAGAACCTGGTGTTCGGGAGGGGGTAGGAGGAGAAGGAGGATGATCAGGTCATTTTTTTAGTTCTCCGGACAATAATCGGTGCGTTTCCACGAACATCGACGGGAAAGAGTGGAGAACTAGGTAGGACACTCACTTATGCAATTTCCGATAACTTCCCCAAGTATATTAAGTGGGCACGAAAACCTCAACTAGGTTTGCCAGTGTGTATTCTTGTTTATTGCCTACCGGATTTCTGTCTTTTTGTTCATATTTTTGAGGATGGAATTCTGACAGGACAGTCATCAAGGCTCTTCCAGATATAAGTGCATCAAATAGGAATATGACAGCGCTTGGCTGTGTCGAAATACACCTTACAACCAAGGTGCTTCAATAGGGGACGGCTCACCGCTTTGTCAAAGAGAGAATATGATCAACGTATACGGAGTCAAACAAATGAGTCCAGTCGGGCAGTGATATGAAGCTCCCAAAATATGAGCCAATCATAAGAGAGTTGGGCGCACACAATTCAACCTCTCAACAAACAGCGGCAGGCGTGCGTGCATGCATCCGTGTGTGCGTGTGCGTGTGCGTGTGCGTACATAAACAGGTGACTCCCAAGGAGCCATCAAAACAGGTATCATGTGCGTAGGTGGTTAAATAATCTATAAATGATAAGCGGTGAACCGGTGCAGAACAAGCTTAAACGGAACATAGGTCAACCAATAGTAGGGGGCAATGGAGGTCACAAGAGAACTCGTGTGGTTGAAGTCATGCGAGTGATCGGTGTTCGTGTGTCTGTACTTCCATATACGTGTCAGAGACTGGGAGAACTAAGCACTCGCTTGATTATGTAAGAAATCAATAGCCAGAATGAAACGAATGTTAACGGGACAAATAAGAATTGGTAGAGTGGGCAATGAGACGAAAAACAAAATGATTCTGAGGAGAATCAATATATATATATATAGTCGAACTTCGCTGCTTTCAAAATAACATTCATTCCTTCCATTCTTGAACTTACGTGGTTCTGTTGGAGTTTAGGTTGTCAGTTTTCATCAACGAACAACAGGTCTTTGTGATCGGCTCTCGAGGTTTCACTAATCTCACTGTAAAACATACACCCGACTAACCACAATAAGTGACGTTTCCCTCAATCACATATTAGATCACAAAGTATACCCATTGTTCTGTCAGAGAAATCTTGAAGTGACAAAGATGAACATCAGTTGAACACAGTACATAGTCAGAAATTTAGACACAACAAAGCGTAATAATCCCTAGGTTAAGTATTTGCACAATTATAGCACTGGTCGATGTTGGTGACTGTGTTCGGATGAACCGGTCAAGGATGGGGCAAAATGGTGGGTCTCTTCAGTAATCTCCCTAACCTTAAGACAAGGTGGAAATAAGGTAAATGGCAGTCCTACAGGATTTTATTTTGCTATATGATGAATCTGTTGTGTAAATGATATGTAAGCTGAAAAGTTAGGAATCACTGGTTAGCTATTTCCACGTGGTTGGGTCTCACCTGCGGTGTGAATCCATCGATCCAATTGGAGGTCGAACCCGAGGTCTCACAGGTAAAACTCAGGCATACTACCAATTCGACTACCGAGCAGCTGCTGATCAGATCGTTTTTCATTTTCATATTCTGTGAGGTTAGAAAGTGACATAATTCTCCGACCGAATGGTGCGTCGACTGACGTCTTCCACCTTGGACAGTCACGATTGCTGTTCTGTTACACTCGAACGTTCGATTGATCAGCTCACAGTCATGAGTTAAACCAGCGCGAGAAAGTGTGACGTCATAGATGGGAAGCAAAGTGAGTACTTCTCCATTATGGTCGATCAGAAATCGTTAATATTCAGAAGGTCGGTACAATCGAAGGTGAATGTTTGTGACGGTTTGCTGAAAATCACAAAATCCTATTTACCGAAACACTACTCTCTAAATTTTCAGTTCGCGCTACACGTGCGCTGATCAAATCAGATCTTCTATCCTCATGTAATCAGGTTAAAATGTTTCCAGCCGAGTCATAACCCTGGAGGCTAGTTCAGATATGCTCAAGGTGCAATGCCTGCATTGAGCTCACAAGGGTGGGTTGTGCTTTATGGTGTATAGGGAAAATGGAAAACGGGTGATCAGCTGCTCGGTGGTTGAGTGGGGAGTTCTAACTTTGCGGTTTCGGGTTCTATCCTTAGTTAGGTCGATGGATTCACATTATGTACGATACTCAACAAGGCCGAACTAGCAGCACAACTGTTTTGATAAGCTGCTTTTGCGAACACAGCATTGGTTGGCCTAATCTGATAGCAATCGCTTCGGCTACGGACAGGATTCTACATATCGCCCTTTTTGATCGACAATAAGCTACCTGGTAAACGACTTCGAATGCCTCCTTTCGCGAATCAGTGTGCCATCAGATTCCTTAATTACCTTACTTAGGTCTATTTGCGTGGTTGTTTCAACTGAAACTGCTCCCTTTCGTGTCAGTTCGTGACCTGTGTCGATTGCGTGGGTTAGGATGACACTAGTCGCACATTTCCATAACGTTGCAGCTTTATTCCAGTTGACCGTCTCCCAAACTTCATCTTCACAGATAATGGTCCATTCTATTCTCGTAAGATATCAGTGGTGACTCCTGTCTACTACTCGCCCATAGATCTCTTGGAAAATTTCTGTCGTAACTCCACTCCACTCCAGGTAGATGTCGCATTCAATGAGAAGCATTCAGCAATGAACATTTTACAGCTTCTTGCTGTACATGAAAATGTCCATCCTGATTACACAAATATATATATTTCACAAGAGGTAACAAACAGATAGCCTTCTGAATGGGAATCGTGTGTATACGCAAAGTGATCTAATAGTGTTGTTGTAGTTGCTTTTCAACAATGCCATTCTGTGCTGCTCCTCTTTTCCTCGACAAACAGCCGGAGTATGAACGTGTCTACGGTGCTCCTGGCGAATCGAACAGTTCGACTACTTACGAGGTTGTACCCGGACCGCGTGGATCTGTGACTGATTCGTTCGAGTTTGAGCACGCCCGTACCGGTTTCACCAATCATTCAGACGAAATCAGTGCATCTCAGTCCAAACGGTTTAGCGATATTTACTCAGAAATTCCATGTGAGTGCTCGACTGTGCTGCATCTTTTCTCGTTTGTTTTAGTCTTGTCACTATTCTTGGGGATCTTTTTCCAGAATTGTGATGTCCTATCTGTTAAACTCCCTGCCTCATCCCCCCTCCAGCGCTTTGTGTGTTTGTCCTTTGGATTGGAAGCTTTTCTTTTGGGGAATTGTTTTGTACCCCGCTCTATTCCGCTGTTGGTAATTTACGGTTTCTGAACATTCCCGTGGGGCGATCCCACATTCTCGGCTAACAAGTATTCTTTGCGCGAACGATTCTGACGTATACTCAAGGACGTTCTTTGTCAATAAGTGAACGTTGAGGGTAGATCAGCTGGTTAGGTCGCTATGGTAATTACGCCGAAAAACCATTTCAATTGTGGATGAGATTCTTTCTGAATTAATCCATGCTCCGAAGGTAAAGCGCACTAAGCTACTACTGTTAATTGTCACTTAAGCATAGGCTGTGATTAGCTGTAGTTCTGGTAAAAGCTCTGATCCACTTAGGTTCGGAGGTGATTTCAATGCACAGTTTGCTTCACTGTCCTTGTAGTTCTGCCGCACACCGGCTCATTGGTGTTCCACTTGTGAAATCATGGGTTTCAACCTTATTGAAGTCAGGAACGATGATCGACCGATCGTACAACAAGTGAAGATACCGGTATAACTATTGTAGTCATTTTTCATTCGGTTGACCTTTGTGCAGTTGACGAGAAGCATGATAATACTACTTACTGCTATTAATAATATTCTTTAGTTACGCAATTGTACAAACAATTACCAAGGAGGGGTTGCGGCCAATTTAACGTTGTTATGAGGAAGATGGACGTAGATATGGTGTTTCGAATACACACCACCTCCGGGCTGCTATAATAATCCTTATCGAATCCTTACCCTAATTTAATGGAAAACGTGGCAGAGGCATACAGTACTGCCACACTCAAGTACATTGTTACATGCAGAGTATGAGTGACATACATACTCGGTCTGATATTCAGTTACTCGTCAAAAGTGCATTTCATACAGCATCAGTTCAGTCGACTTTATTACCACCGTAAACATATCGGCCTGTCCATGGAGGCACGTGAGAGAATGTTGACCGCTTGAAGCTCGTGTAGGCTCGTGTAGGATAATTGGGCCAACAGCTCTTGTTTGGGAAACAGAACGCCATGTGCTCGAGATGGATCGCATACCTCACGTCTCCAACGAATGAGCAGCAGCGATTTTCTGTTGCAGATAGTGTTTGTATGTGTGTGCGGGGTGGTTGGGTGTATCAGTGTCCCTATGAAGACGGTCGTGGAGTGAAACACATCATTTCGTTATACACTTTATGCGTCATGGTTGGTTTTAACATTGATGAAAACTGAATGTTCGAATTATTCAACGCGAACCTGCTTTTTATCGACAAACAGTGAGAAAATCGGACCGAATGAAAAGATGAGATAAAGATTACGAAGGGTCACCCAATGGGAGCGATCACTTCAGTTCCCATACGGGTCAATATGTCTATCGATATTCAGTGTCATTACGAAAAAACATGTCGGTTTTTTGCACACAATGAGATATTTATTCAATACCCTTTCAATTGATTTGATCGATTGTGAAGGAATTCAATTCGAGGAAGCGAAAATTCGTGTTTTCAAAAATAAAGTTAAGTCTTGAATGATATGAACAAATAAATATGGGAATGCAACACTGTGATATCCAAGGCAGTTCATTATCTTTTCCTTCTACTTATGAGTGAAGT